TCTCTGCCTGTCACCCGATGCCCGGCATTGGATTTCTCTCCCTCCCTTTGTGAGGGCCAGCACAGCTGGGAGGGGGAGGCAGGCTCCGTGTGCCTCTCAGCCTCTTCCTGGGAGACTGGCACGAGCTGCTGGGGCGAGCTACAGAGCCTCACCCCTGTGGGAGGTCTCACCCACCAACTGCCGCACAGCAGCATCCCTCCCCAGAGCTCACACTGTGCCCCACCCAGAGTCCAGGGGGGCCCCCAGCCTGCCTCTGCCGCCGGTCCCTTCCTGCTCAGGCCAAAGCAGTATGAGAAGCCCTGCTCCAGTGTCAGACCAGTGCGGGTCTGGCTGTGTGTTCCAGTCCCGCCTCTCCTGGCCCCGGGACCTCGCACAGATGACTTGCCCTTTCTGAGCTGGCCTCCCCTTTTTAGGAAATGGAGTCGTAACTCTGCCAGCCTTGGATCTCCGAGCTGGCTAAGAGAACCTGTGCCTAGAAAGTAACTCAGCGTCGGGCCTCCCACAGTGAGTTCCCAGTACCTGGAAGCAGTGCCCACCATCTGTGACCTCTGTCCAGTCGTGCCTCCTGCTCAGACCTGGCACCCTGTGGCTGCTTAGCAAGTGCCCTCACGTGTCATCTCCTGAGACCCTGCAGATGTCCCTTTCAGAGAGGGGAAGCGGTGGTCGCGATTGTCAGTCACAGCCTCACCAGGTCAAGGACAGCTCTTATCCCAGGCCAGTAGCTCCGGATCCACCTTCCCTGGCAAGCAGGCACGTGCTCTCCCTTACTTGCCGCCGTCCCCTTCTCTCTGACAGCCACTTGAACTCCAGCCCCTGCTTGAGTGGGACCTTCAGGGCATTGGACTTGGGAGTTGAGTGAACACGTTTGAGCCCTGATCTGACATGCACACGCACACGCACGCATGTCCCCCCTGCTCCCACACATGCGCGTCCACCCGGCCTCACCAGCCATTCCGTAATGGACAGGTGCTTCCATGCCTCTTCTGGTCCCTGCCTTCCAGCGGGGGAGAAAACACGGCTGTGACGGGTTTGTGTGCACCCATGAGTATGCTAAGCGCTGGTCGGGGAGGGATGAAGTCGTACTCTGTCACCAGAGGTAGCCGAGGAGTTAGTCACCCTCGCCCCATTTTAGGGATAAGGTGATGGAGGCACAGAGGTGAAACCGCTTTGCTCAGCATCAGAGTTTTAAATTCGGAGTCAGGATCCAACCCCAGGCACTCTGGCTCCAGAGCCCATGTTCTTACCCACTTTGTGAGACCACGTGTCTCAGGTGGGGGAGCCCCGGGTGGACGGGGAGGGAGGCAGCACGGACTCCTCAGGGCCTGGCCACTTCAGCAGCTGTGCCCTCACTCTGCAGCCTCTAGGGTGGGCCGGCCAGCTGGGGGAGCTGCTCACTGACTCGTGCCCGCCGTGGTGAGGCCTGTGTGGTTCCTTAAGGCTGTGGAAGCCCGGGGTGGATGACCCCAGGCTGGAGGCCCCACACCGGGTCTGGGGAGCTTTGTCTCTCTCAGTCCACGCGCCTCAGACCTTCACCCTGTTCTCCCCTTGACCATTTCGCCGCAGCATCACAAGCGAACGGATGTGTGGAGGGGCCAGGCCTGGGGTTCTGCTGGCTTATGGAGAGCTGGGCGTGGGGCCCGGCACAGCGTGAGCGCCGTCTACATGCTCCGCGGTCTTTTCTCGGCACCACCATGCTGCTGTTACCTTACCACTTTTTCTTAAATTGGTTCAGTTTTGTTTTACTTGAATATGTATCATCTCATTCCCAAACAATACGGTAGTTTGTTTTCATTCATCCGTGTAGGAAGCCCGTATACGTAATGATCACTGTAAGGTCACTGCCGAGCCACCTGACGCTCTCCTGTGTCCCCGCTGGTGCCGCGCCAGGACTTGGGGCGTGCTGGTGGTGCTGTTGGGGCCATCGAGGTGGGGTGGGGGTGCCCTCGAGCTGCCGTGGACTGGCTGAACACCTCCCTACCCCCTGCTTTTGTGCCTCCAGTGTCTTTCCCCAGTGCTGTCCCCTCTCGAAAGCGCGTCTCAGCTTGAGAGGGGAGTGACGAAGCTGCAGTTGTTATTCCTGTCACCAGGGGGCGCTAAGTCACTCCGGGCCTGAGGGGCTCTCCCACTTCTGGGAATATGTCCACTCCTCCTGGCCCCTGTTCTGTTTCCCCTTCTGTAAGTGACTGGGCGGATGCGACCCTTGTGAGCTCTGGCGGTGACCTTGTGTGAGGCTGTGCTGCCTGCAAACCCCACGGACGCCTGGCTGAAGGGGTGGCCGGACGGCAGCCGTGGCTGGCGCGGAGCTGGCCAGGTTAGAGACCCTGGGCTTCAAGCTTACCGGGAGGCCCCTCAGAACAAAGACCGACCCAGTGGGCAGGGCTGGGATGCTGGATCTGGGGTGCCAGAACTGAACACCTAAGGGATTGATTGCAGCTTGAGAGCGTCCTTAGAATTCTTACTTCCTGTAGGCTCTAGGATGCTGAGACGGCTAGTGATGGCACCCCGTGTGCCCAGGCCCTCCCTCATTCCCATCTCATGTGACCAGGCCAACCCAGCCTTGGCCCAGGGGCCTTTCTTGAGGTGAGCTTGCCTGGGGGAGCATCTGATAAAGCCTGTGCACCTCTTCTCAGAGTGATGATTTTGTTTTAATTTTTTGTTAAAGTAAACTCTGTGCCCAACGTGGGCCTTGAACTCACCACCCCGAGATCAAGATTTACTTGCTCTACCAACGGAGCCAGCCAAGCACCCTTTGGAGTGATGGTTTTGGTTTTTTTTTTTTTTTTACAATTTTGTTTATTTATTTATTTATTTATTATTTATTTTGTATTTATTTATTTGACAGAGAGAGCGCACAAGCCGGGGGCTGGAGCGGGGAGGGAGAAGCAGGCTTCCCGCTGAGCAGGGAAACTGATTTGGGGCTCGATCCCAGGACCCTGAGATCATGACCAAAGGCAGATGCTTAACCGACCGAGCCACCCAGGTGCCCCTGCAGTGATGATTTTGAAAGGCAAAAAATAAAGTAGGATTACAAAGGATATCAAAATACAGTTAGCGAAAAAATTTTTTTAGATTGCAACGCGGTGTTCGCATTCTTCCTCACTGGTGCAGGAGAGAGCAGCCGCTCTGGTGACTGCCATCTTCAGAGTAGTGATGCGCATTCAAAATCTGCGGCAGCCCATGCACCGTGTGGAAGCACCTGTCGTCCTGGCGATGACAAAGTCGCAGGGTCTGCTAAACACTATTTCTCTTCTCTTCTCTCTCTCTCTGTTTTGCCCATGTTAATAAGGAAGAGCTACATTTCATTGTAGTTCACTTAGTGAAAGTAGAGAAGTCATTTTTCTCCCTCACGTGTGCAGAACCCTCGGGGGTCAGCAGACCCAGTTTGGTTGGACCCCCTGAGGCAGCTGCTCGAGCCCTGGGGGCTGCCTTCCCTGGCAGGGCCAGCTCCTGAGCTGGGGGCCACCGGCCGTCAGAGAGCTCCCTCGCTGGGTGGGCAGGAGGTGGCCGCACTGGGGAGGCTGCTGGTCACCTGCAGCTCCGCTCAGGGAGGAAGCGAGGGGGTAAGCTGGGGCCTCTGTCCGCTTCTTTCTTCCAGCACAGTGGGTCCAGCACAGTGGAGAGAAAGCTCTGGAGCCAGGTGCACAACTCTGCCCTGTACCCGCTGCCCAGCCTCAGGGAGGCAGCTTCCTCCCACTCCCAAACCTCGGTTTCCTCCCCTAGGAAACAGGGTAGTGCTTGATGCGACCTGGAGGGAGAGTCCACTGGGAGATGCTTACCTGGAAGCTTCGACAGGGGCTTCTGCCGGCTCTGAGGGCCAGGCCAGGGTGGCAGCAGGGTGAGGGTAGGCCGAGGTCTCCAGAAGGCCCTCTTCCTACTCCATTCCTTGCCTGCCCTGTCGTCCCCAGGCCCACTCCATTCTGCTGACGCCAAGAGCTTTCTCTGCCCCTCCCCTGCTCGGAGACTTCCCTTCCTGTTCTCCCGGTTGCCCTGGGGCAGAATCCAATATTTCATAGACAAACACCGAAAACAGTATGAATGTCTTATCCAGTGAATGGATAAACAAAATGTATACATCAGGCATTTACCATGCAGTCCTGTAAAGGGGCCGGAACTCAAAACCCCTGTGCTCCACGAGAGAGGCTGGCCACAAAAGGCCACATACTGCTTACCTCCATCTTTATGAAATGTCCACGGAAGGCAGATCGGTGCAGACAGGCAGGCCAGCCTTGTCTGGAGCGTGGTGATGGGTCCCGGGCCTCCCAGGGGCTGTGCTGTGCAGCTGTTGAGCCTGGGCTCCATCCCTTCATTCTGTGAGCACTGCCTGCTCCCCTGGGCACCCGGGCCGCGCCCCGTCTCCTCTGACTGCCGCCGTGTCCCCCAGACTGGAGGCCCCGCGCCAAGTAGCTGTCAGGGGATGTTTTTTTTGCTGTTGAGGGTGTTGTTTCAGGAGTGGGGACTCTGAGAGGCCACATGCATCACAGTTAAGAGCAGAGTTCACTTCCCCACTCCACCACTTACCGGCTGTGTGTCCTTGGGCAAGGTGTTTCACCTCTCTGGGCTCAGCTTCCTCATAGCATCAAAGTACAGATTCATTCTCTCATCTAGGAAAACATACACACACACACACACACAGATTGAACACCTGCTCTGGGCCTGGTCCTGGGCTGGATACTGTTGGGACAAGGTGGTGACCAGGATAGACCCAGCCCTGCCCTCCCCATTTAGTAGGGGAGACAACCAACAAGCAGAAAAGTTCTGTGATGTTAGTTGTGTGATGTTTGTGCAGAGCTGCTCGAGGAGCCATGGGAAGGTGTGGAGGGAGGGGCTGACTCGTTTGGGGGCCCCGGGGCCACCTCCACAGGGCAGCAGTGACATCGAGGGGCCTTGACGGGAGGGCAGGACTCAGTGGGTCATCGGAAGGGGCGTTTTGTTGTGGGGGGCGGGAGTGAAGGGGGCCCAGGGTGCGGAGCATCACAGGCCTGGGTCCTCTGTGCCTGCAGCCCAGAACGTGACCGTGGATGAGGTCATTGGTGCCTACAAGCAAGCCTGCCAGAAGCTGAACTGCAGACAAATCCCCAAGCTCCTCCAGCAGCTCCAGGTACCCAGGCAGGGGTGGGGCGCAGTCAGAGCGAGGGGAGGGGGATGGGGGGGAGGTCCCTGGGGTGAAGCTTTTCTCTCTCTGTCCCCTCCCCTCCCCCCCCAGCAGCCTCTGGGCCTCTGGGCCTCTGGGGTCGGCCCTGAGCAGGGAAGGGTGCACAGGGCACCGCCCCGCCTGGCCACCTAGCCCAGGGCCCGTGTAAATACATCCTGGAAAATCCTCTGTTCAGTTGTAAAAGCGATCAGGCTCTTATGAATGTTTAAACAGTGTGGAATGATATAAAGTAAGAATTTTAACAGTCACTCCCCAAAGAAATTCGGTTCCCCAGGGGAAAAGCCATATGTACGTTTATTCTTCACGGTCTCTATACGTTCTGCATACGCTATTTTTTTTTTTTAAATACTATTTTTTTTAAAATACTACAGGCATAAAAAGCAAAATCCATTCCTCACTTCTTACTCAAGTCCCATTTCCTGGGAGTCCCACTGTTGGCAGCTTGAGGTTTTCGCCCTCTGGCCCTGCCTGTGCGTTTGTTAGAGGGCAGCTCGCTGTCCAGAAGCCCACAGCCCCGAGGACACATTCTTCGTCTGTGTGAATGGGGTGCAGCTGTGCCCGTGGCGTGTCCCCTGTAGCTATGTCCCACAGCGCCTTTCCTGCCGCCTGCCCAGCCTGGGCGTGTTGGTAAAGCACCACCTTAGTGCTCTCCCTCCGGATGGGTCATTCCAGAATTTTCCAAGGTCGCTTGTTTCTAGGGTTGCCGCTCCCTCAGACGGCATTGCTGTGAGCAGTCATGCTCGCCACCCAGCTCTGCACCCCAGGGTAAAGGGTTTTCTGGGGCAGTTCCCAGAAGGGCCTGTTGGCAGTTTCAGGGAAGGACGGCCCCTCAGTGTGGGAGCCAAGAGTGTGGGTCCTGGGGGTCCACAGGCTAATGTGTGCGGAGCCCAGAGAACAGAACCTGGCATCCAGTGGGGGTGGGGCTGGGCTCATAGCCAAGGAGGGCCGGGCAGACGTCTGACCGGTGCCTTTCCTCCTCCTCACTGAGTGCTCTCTGTGTGGGGCCTGGTGCCCGGCCTGCACCCCCAGGCCTGTCAGCCATCCCCACCTTCGTGCCTGCTTCAGGGCCTTTGTGCTGGCTGCCCCTTATTGCCTGGAATGCTCCATTCAGCTGGGCCAGAGGGGCGGTGCCCCTACCTGGCCCAGGCCCTGTGGGTACAGAATGCCCCGCTCTCTGAGGCCCTGCACACCACCCCGACCCCAGAACACTGCCTCACCTCAGAAACGAAGCCAGATCAGACCCTCGCCTGCCCCACTGTCAGGGTCCAGCCCTGCTCCTGAGGGTGTCTTCCTGCCTTCAGCCCTGACCCCTCTGTTTTCCCAGGAGTTCACGGACCTTGGACACCGCATTGATTGTCTGGACCTGAAAGGTGCGTGTCGGGACAGAGGCTGGGACCCCTGGGGAGTGGGCAGGGCCAGAGCCTCTCGAGGTGGGTCTGGGCTGGCAGGTCCTGCCGTAAGAGCAGGTTAGCCCAGGGCAGTGGGGTTCCTGAGAGGTGTGGGTGCCCTCCCTGAGGGGAGGCGGGTGCAGCGAGCCCTCCCTCCACCCGGAGCCCCCATTTCCAGCCAGCCCCCCAAGCATGCCAGCACGTACAGAGGTGCACTCCATCTCGTCCCAGGTGAGAAGCTCGACTACAAGACCTGCGAGGCCCTGGAGGAGGTCTTCAAGAGGCTGCAGTTCAGGGTCGTGGATCTGGAGCAGACGAACCTGGATGAAGATGTGAGCAGCTCCTGCCACCACCCTGACCTGTTCCCCCAGCTCCCTGGCCCCTTTGAGGTTTAGGGGGCGGGGGCACTGCAGGAGGAAGAGTTCCCCTTTGACAGAGGCTGGGCAGGGCCTCTTGAAGGACAAGATGAGGAGGCAGCTGATGTGACCAGAGTGGATGTGGGGGATATTGGGACTCTGGGGCAGGGCCCAGAAAAGGGGTCTCATAGACGCATCCCAGAGGCAGGGCCTTTGTAAGCAAGAGAGGGACTTGGGGAGCTGGGCCTTAGTGGGGGCAGGTGTGTGGCCACCAGAAACCTTTTCAGGAACCCCCACTGGGGATCACAGCACTTGTAAGAGAGAGTTTGAGAAACATGCAGATAGCATCCTCCCCATTTGGGCCCAGGTGTCCTCACCTCCCCAGACTCAGAGACCACCAGGAGACCTGGGGGTGGGGTCCTGGAGAACTGAGGCCCAGGTACGCCAGGGGACTGTCCCAGTTCCGGGGTGTATCTATCAGCCCACCTGCTGTTGGCGGTGGGGTAACAAGTAAGAGAAAGCAGATGGACTTCAGCAGGAAGGGCGAAGTTGGTTCCTGGAACCCAGAGGTGCCAGGGCAACATCAGGGCCCTCCCCACCCCTTAGTTTTTTGTCCCCCACCTCCTGGCCTCCTGGGTCTGCCTCAGCCTGAGTCTGAACCCTGTTGTCTCGGCCCCCAGGGTGCCTCGGCCCTCTTCGACATGATCGAATACTATGAGTCGGCCACCCACCTCAACATCTCCTTCAACAAGCACATCGGCACCCGGGGCTGGCAGGCCGCTGCCCACATGATGCGCAAGGTGGGCGCCTCTTATCTGTGCCCTCCCCAGGGTAGAAGGGGCTCGACCGCAGAGGGGTCCAGGGTGCTTTCCCAGGACACCCGTCCCTTAGGGCCTGGTTTTCATGAGCCCTCAGAGTGTCGTTGTCCCAATGCCAAGGGGTGCCCTGCCTCAGGCCAACCCTGGCTCCTTTTCTCCTTTCAAGCATCTTTCCTTCTTCTTCACTTGCTCGTAACCCATCCCTGGGAAGTGGCTGTAGTTGCCCCCGCTTCGCTCATGTCCGGGGCATCTGCTGCACAGGAGTCTGGGAACTCAGGTGTCACCAGCCCTGCCTGCTCACCTGCAGGACTCCAGGCCGGGCCATCCCTCACAGACACAGTTGCCCCGCTGCACGCTGGGACGTGGGGCTGGGAGATCCCTGGGGACTGGGAGGGCTGGGGCCAGCCTGTTCCAGCCCTGCCCCTGCCCCACCAGACGAGCTGCCTACAGTACCTGGACGCCCGAAACACGCCCCTGCTGGACCACTCGGCGCCCTTCGTGGCCCGCGCCCTGCGCATCCGCAGCAGCCTAGCGGTGCTGCATCTGGAAAACGCCAGCCTGTCAGGGCGACCCCTCATGCTGCTTGGTGAGCTCCGAGGCCAGGGGAGGCGGATCAGTAACATGCTGCCTGCTGGGGACCGGGGCTCGGCCAGTCACTGTGCTCTCCCCGCACTCCCCCAGCCACGGCACTGAAGATGAACGTGAATCTGCGGGAGCTCTACTTGGCCGACAACAAGCTCAACGGCCTGCAGGACTCGGCCCAGCTGGGCAACCTGCTCAAGTTCAACTCCTCCCTGCAGATCCTGGACCTCCGTAACAACCATGTGCTGGACTCAGGTGTGTGAGAGGCCTGCCCACGCCCACCCCACTCCAGCCACTGAGCACCCACTGTGTGCCTAGCCAGGTGTCCCATGGTGCTGGAGACACGGGGGGGGCCAGGACAATCCCAGTCCTGCCCTCATGGGGCTCACAGTCCAGTAGGGAAGACAGACCATCCCAGGCAGTGACAGCTCAGACTGGGTAGGGCTGGGCTGTGGGAACCCAGGGAGGGTGTCCTAGAGGAGGGGGCAGCTCAGCAAAGACCTACAGGATGAAGTGAGGTATTGAAGAGATAATTAAAATAATTATCCTCTGGAAAAAGTGGCCTAAAGGAAACAAGGTTGTTGGGACAGAGGGTCAGTCAGAGGCCGTTTAAGATGGTGCAGGGAGGTGACCTCTGGGCAGCAATGTGGAGGGCAAGAATGGAGCCAGCCCTTTTAAAAGCCTGGGAAGGGGCGCCTGGATGGCGTAGTTGGTGAAGCGTCCGACTCTTGGTTTTGGCTCAGGTTCCCCATGTCAGGCTCCGTGCTCAGCGCAGAGTCCACTTAAGATTCTCTTTTCCTCTCCCCTGCTCCACCCTGCTTTCTTTCTCTCTCAAATAAATCTTAAAAAAAAAAAAAAAGCCTGGAAAAAGAATCCAGGCAGAGTGAATAGAAGGCCCTGAGGTAGGAAAGAGCCTAGATGTTGAATATTTGCGGGGAAAAGCCACGGTGGGCTAGAGGGTAAATGGGAAGGGAGAGGAAGTAGCTAGTGGTAGGAACTCTGTGTCCTCCTGGTTCACTGTTGAGCAGGGTCTCCGGGCCTCAGTGTGAGGAGAGCGCTGGGGGGACAGCATAGGGCATGCAGGCCAGTTCCTTCGCCCAGGGTGGCCGGGCCCAGACACCACATTTACTGAGCACCTAGCACGTGCCTGGCCTGTTGAGACAGAGATCTCTGCCCTCGGGAGAGACACCGCCATGATAAATTAATAGAGTATGCGGTGTGTCAGATGGTGAGATGTGCTCTGGAGAAAACTGAAGCAGACAGAGGGATGTTCCGGCCCGGGCACCAGGGAGCCATGGGTGCTGGGCCGAGGCAGGAGGTGGCCGGGCCAGAGTCGGGGGGCGGTGGGGGCCGGGCAGGCAGGTCGACGGGAGGGCAAAGCCCCGGGAGGTTCTGCGCTCTCCTGGGGTAACAGTGGCTCCCCACCGGTGTCCCCTGGAGAAGCGCCTGGACCACAGCGGGGACTTGCCCATGGGTCCCCTCCAGGTCTGGCCTACATCTGCGAGGGCCTCAAGGAGCAGAAGAAGGGGTTGGAGACCCTGGTGCTGTGGAACAACCAGCTGACACACACGGGCATGGCCTTCCTGGGCATGACGCTGGTGAGTCGGGCCAGGAGCGGGGAGGGGCGCCACGGCTCCCAACACGGCCTCTCAGCCCCGTGCTCTACCCCCGTCGTGCTCACCCTGCCCCTCAGGGACCCTTTGCAGGAGCCCTTTCAGCGCGGGTTGCTCTCCCTCAGCTTCCGCAGCCCCTCTGTCCTAAGGAAAGTAGCCTTTCTCAGTTGCCCTTGTCTTCTTGCATCCGGCGCGGTAGCCTAGTACCATGTTGCGCACGAGGTGAAAATGCTCTGCATAGAAAGTTAATATTTTCTGGAAGCCTTCAGTGCGTTTTAAATCTTTTTACATAAATACATGGTATTTAAAGCAAGCCCACAGGCCACAAAGACTCACGTCCAAGTTAAGAATGACCAGCGGCCAGGTGTGTGCGCTGAGCCCTCGGGATGCTTGCCCGGGCTGGGGAGTGGACAGGGCAGCTGGCTGGCACTGGGGCGGCTTCCGAGTCCACGAAGCATCTGGCCTTAAGCAGGACTGTCTGGGCGGCGCTGCCGAAGAGGGAGCGCTCGGGTTTGCCTTTTTCCTGATTGGCCTTCTGGGCCTTTCCTCACTCTCAACGTGCCGCTCCCTCTAGCCGCACACACACAGCCTGGAGACGCTGAACCTGGGCCACAACCCCATCGGGAACGAGGGCGTGCGGAACCTCAAGAACGGCCTCATCAGCAACCGCAGTGTGCTGCGCCTCGGCCTCACCTCCACCAAGCTCACGTGCGAGGGTAGGGCACGGGGCTGGGCCGAGGGGGCGGTGCAGGTGGGCTTGGCGGGCGGCTAGCCCATGGCCAGCCCCTGCGGTCCCCCTCCCAGGCGCGGTGGCGGTGGCGGAGTTCATCGCCGAGAGCCCCCGCCTCCTGAGACTGGACCTTCGGGAGAACGAGATCAAGACAGGCGGGCTCATGGCACTGTCCTTGGCCCTCAAGGTGAACCACTCACTGCTGCGCCTCGACCTCGACCGTGAGCCCAAGAAGGAGGCGGTGAGCTGAGTGGGCTCTTCCCTGAGGCCTCCGGCGGCGGGAGGGTGGTGCAGGCTGGCCCAGGGCGACTGCCGGGTCCGCCGAGGGCACCAGCTGTGCAGAGCCCTAGCCAGGCCCGCTCCGCTTGCAGGTGAAGAGCTTCATCGAGACGCAAAAGGCGCTGCTCGCAGAGATCCAGAATGGCTGCAAGCAGAACTTCATGCTGGCGCGCGAGCAGGACGAGAAGGAGCAGCGGCTGCAGCTCTCCGCCTCCATGCCCGAGATCACCGTGACCGAGCCGCAGCCCGGCCAGGAGCCCGGGGGCCAGGAGCCCGGGGACGAGCCCGCCACCAGGGCCCAGCAGAATGGGGCCCCCGGCCCCAGTGCCCGGCCGCACTCAGACTCAGACTCGGACTCCGAGGAGGAGGGTGGGGAGGAGGAGGATGGGGGGAGGGCCGAGGCCCCCTGCCCCGCCCTGGTGCCCCCCTCGGACTCCCTGGGCCCTGGGGACAGGAGCCCCCCAGGCAGCCCCGCCTCCCCCACTGAGCAGCGTATTTCTGTGTCCAGCCCCGGCCGGGGCCACAAAGTGTTTGTGGTGACTCGGGTTGAGAGTCCGCCCGAGAGGGCAGAGCCCCCGGCGCCCCCCGCCCCTCCTTCCCCCTCTTCCCCCCCTTCCCCCCTTCCTCCTGCTTTATCCTCCCCGCCCACCTCACCTGCCCTGCCACCAGCTGAGGCCATCGGTACTCCGGACCCAGGGGTGTCGGAGCCTCAGTCACAGCTGGAGCCACCTCAGCCAGGGCCACCGCTGCCCAATGGCCTGAAGCCCGAGTTCGCCCTCGCACTGCCTCCAGAGCCTCCCCCGGGGCCTGAGGCCAAGGCGGGCAGCTGTGGCCTGGAACACGGTGAGTGGGGCTCCGGGGCAGGGTGACAGCGGGCCCTGGGTGCTGCTGTGAGCCCGGGTAGGCACCTGCCCCTCGATGGGCTTCAGCGTTTCCTTTAAAATGGCCTGTGAAGGGGGTAGGATCGAGGACTTGGTCCTCAGCCCCCACCTCGTTTCCCTTGGGTCTCTGGGACGGAGCAGGCGAGATGCGCTGACTGGAATCCGATGGCCTCAGTGGTACCCGGGCCCTGTGCTGCTCTAAGGGCCAGACTTGGGCAGGGCTGGTGGGGATGGCCTGGGGCCCCCCATCCCCGCCTGCCTGACTGGAGGTTGCTCGCCCCTTGTCCCCTTGCAGAACTGAGCTGCTCCAAGAATGACAAGGAGCTCGAGGAGCTGCTTCTGGAAGCCAGTCAGGAATCTGGGCAGGAGACACTGTGACACTTTAGGTGAGGCGGGGGCCGGGGTCAGAGGACAGGGGTTCTGGGGTCCGGCAGTAGCACCCCTGGCTCTGACAGGCCCTCCCCCAATCTCTTCTCCCCAAGTTCCTTTTTTCCGGTCAGTCTTCGGTGAGCTGAGGCCAGAGCCATGAGAATCTGCTCACCCTCGCCCCCAGCCTTCCTGAGGCCTGGGCCACCAGGGGTGCGGGGGGCCTTTCTGGGGACCCCTGCCCCCCACAGCAACACTACACAGAGCGCAGGAGCCGCAGGGACTGCCCTCCCCGCCCTGACTTAAGCACTATTTTTGTGTCCAGCACTCGAAGGCTCTGGGTTGGGGGGATGGGAGAGGAGTTCTCCAAGGACATCAGCCACGAGGCTGGACGCCTTTTCCAGACGGCCTGTTGGGCCAGGCTTGCCCTGTGGAGGGCAGCAGTCCTGGGTGGTGGTGGGATGGCCCCCCGGCCCCCCCCGGGTGCAGGGCCAGGCAGGAGGCATGACGAGGGAGGGCGGTGAGTGGTGGTGGAGGACCTTGGTAGAGCAACCCCAGGCAGCGTGAGGGCCAGGGCTGGGGGGGGCGGGGGGCTGGGAGCAGAGGATCAGAGCTTTCTTTTTCTTAAGTGCAATAAATCTATCAGGGAGCTGGGGTGAGGAACAGCCGGGCTTCTAGAGACCCTGCTGTCCAGGCCCCTTGAGGCTGCGCTCTGAGAGGCACTACAACCCGGGGGGCGGCGTGGGTGTGGGGTACGGGTGGGCGGGGGAGGGGCTACTCCTGTCGGTGCAACTCTGTTCACACCTTTTCTAATAAACCAGAGCTGGGTTCACCACACTCGCCTGCCCTCTGCTTGTGCCGATCGGGGGCGCCCCCTGCGGGAGCTGTGGCCACAGGGAGCAGGGAGGGCAGGGCCCAGCCAGCTCCCGGGGACGTCTGTGGGGCTGGTGCCAGGGGTGCCCCAGAGGAAAGCGGGCAGGCCGGGGAGGCAAAAGCCACATTTCCCACAACACTCCCTGCCCCCCCCCCTTTTTTTTTGCCGTGTCCACCCTCCTGTATCTCCCTTACCTTCCAGTTCACAGTCCCGTTTCTCCAGAGGGAAACAACCCCCAAAATATCTTCCAGCTTCAGGCCCAGGCTCCCAGGGTGTGATGGAGATGAACCACCCATGGCACAGGGGGAATAGGCCCCAGCTTTTGCCCCCAGCGGCCCCAGACGCTCCGCGTTTCCGAGGGTACATGGCCCTACAGACACATTTTCAGACTTCGGGCCTGGGAACCAGGAGAGTACATTTCTGTGCTAAGCCACCCAGCTTGTGGGACTTGGTCCTAGCAGCCCCAGGGGACCCCCAGGCACCAACTGTGTGGTGCTCCTGATTTTCCAGCTGGATCCTGGATCAGTCCGGGATCGCAAGGGGGGGATCCCTTCGGCCAAGTATTTTCTCCTCGTTGCCTTCAGCCACCCAGACATTCCTGGAGCTTGTTGTGAAGACACACTGAATCCATTTTATTACTGGGCTAGACGCTGTGCCCAGTCGTAAAGATCTCAGTGCCACATGGGAGATGTTATTTCCACGCTTGTGGATGGTTAGGTAGCGGGCAGCTGTTCTCCCCGAAGTGACAGGCGGGCCCAGGCCTCGCCCTTGTGGCTCTGCCGCTCCTTAGGGCCTCAGGAGCCCCTGCATCTGGTGGGCAGATGGGCGGGGGGGACTGGACAAGGCAGACCTGCTTCACCGAAGATGGGAAGGGGATGTGCATCGCTGGTGCTCCCTTCCTGTTGGCGAGAACCAGCCCCGTGGCCTCCCCGAGGTGCGAGTCGCCAGCAGGAAAGCTCCACGGACCCCGCAGAGGGGACCGTGAGTGCTAGGGAACAGTGAGCCTTCCCGGCTACACCAGCCACTCCAGGACATCCCAACTCTAGCTCTGTCGGACTCAGACTTCATCAGAGTCTAAGAGACACGGTGGCCACAGTGACCACCGCGTGGCTCCACTGAACAGGGAGCTGTAGCTCCTTCCTGGGGCCTGGGGTCCACAGGCCTGCTCCCAGCCCGTCAGCAGGTTAGTTCGCGCCTACTCCTGCTGCTAACGTGTGTCAGCCCGGACCGGGGGTGGTGAGAAATGGAAGCCCGAGCCAGGTTGGCTGAAGGGAGGCCGAAGGGAAGGGACGTATCGGCCCCAGTCCCACACCTGCAGACACGGACCTGTCACAGTCCCCGTGTGTCTCTGGGGGGCGTCGTTCTTGGGCAGGCTCCCTGCTGCCATTGGGAGAACCTCACCCGGCAGGTGTAGGTTTGTCTCACCGGCTTAGCCACGCAGCTAAGCTGGCTGCCCCAGCAGAAGTCACAGGCCGGCTCTCTGCCCTGGATCCACCTGGATCCATCATTGGCCAGTGGAGGTGGGATGCTGTGCCCAGCCTCGGAGTAAGGAATGTGAGGTCAGTACCTCCACCAGGCCCCAGGGCCTGAGCGTGGGTGACTTCACAGAGCTCTTGGCTCCCTCTGGGTCTGTCCCCTCAGAAGTCACGCCCTTGAGCTCTCATCACGCCTATCTATCAGGGAGCGTAGGTTAAGTGTCGGTCCTGTCTCCCAACTGGACTGGACCAGGCACACCACGGGCCTGAGTGTGTGGCTCCTTGACCAGTGAGAACTCCAAAGGTGCCCAGAGGGGTGACACTGGCATCCTAGGTCCGCGTCACACGGGTGGGAGGGGAAAGTGGTTAAGAACCCTCCCCCCCCCCCCCCCCCGCCACTCTGGCCTGGCACAGGCTCCGATTCTGTATGTCCCATGGGTACCCCATCTCTGCTCAGCTCCCCAGTCCTCATCATCGGGTGGACAGTTACTTGTTCAGGGGAGGCCGTGCTGCCTGCCCCAGGTGGCCAGAGTGCCAGCGAGCCCTCGTTCATTCATTACACCAGGGCAGAGCCACCCCTTGAGTGGAGCAACCTGCTGAGGTCAATGGGACACCGCCCTCGGAAATGCCAGCTCCGTGCCTGCGCAGGGGCCAGCAGGGCGTGGGGACAAGGACCTGGATCCCCTGAGGCCTAGGCGCTCTCCGTTGCCTGAGTCAACCCAGCACATCCGTCCTCCCCTGCCTCAGTGGCCTCACCCACCGCCCCCGCAACCACTCCTGCACCAGGGATGCCAGCAGTGAGGCTGCCAGCTGAGGCTGTCTGGCTCCCTGATGGTGCCAGGGCTTGGCAGGATAGGGCAGGCCTGGTTCCCAGTCCCTGCTGAGCCAGGGAGCCCAGGACGCAAAAACCAACGGGGGCTTTCACATCTCCATTTATTGAACTTGAACCCGGGGTTCTAACCTGGTCACTGGCTCCGTACCCTGCCACTGCCAACAGCTCTCTGGCTCACAGGTTCACCTGGGTGGGGGGGGAGGGTGGCCACCACAGGCCTCACTGCAGACCTGGACTGCAGCCTTGGGCCCAGTCGCACCCCTCACCCCCTCGTCCGGGCAGACGGAGCAGCGGTTCCCTCTCCCGCTGCTCCCGGGGTACTCTTTCAAGGCCCACCTAGGCTGTAAGGGTTCTCAGGCCACGGGTCGTGACTTGCCCCTGGGCGCCCAGTCCCGGGGCTGGTGGGCTTCGCCCGCATGCGCCGGGGCGTGCCCAGCGCCCTGACCGGACTGGAGGGCCCCGGGGGCATGGCTGGCTCCGTCGGCGGCGTGGGGGGCGTCGTGGGCTGGGGACTTGGGCGGGCTGGGCGGCTTGAGAGCCCTGACCGCCCGGATGAGGCCCATGCGGCGGCGGATGGAGTGGTCCAGGTTGACAGTGCAGCGCAGCAGGCTCTGCGCCTGGGCCACGGTGAAAGGGAAGTCGGCGCCCAGGAAGCGCTCGAAAAGCTCGGGGTCACCGTCCAAGTCCAGCACGTTCTGCAACTCCTTGGTCATGGAGTGCAGCTCGGGGCTGTTGTCGCAGAACACGTTCCAGAGGCGCACGCGGGCCTCGGGCGCGCCCCCCGCCTGCTGCCGGTCCTCCAGGCACTGCAGCACCCAGCTGAGGCGGCACGGCCACTGGTTGGCCAGCACGACCCAAGCCACGGCCTGGCGCGGCGTGGGGCCCGCAAAGTCCCCGTCCTGCTGCTGCAGCAGGCGCACGGTGATGGGCACGGTGTTGACGATGCGCCGCATGGACACCACGTTGTCGGGCACGTACTCGTAGAGGCAGTCGCGCTCGTCGTGCAGGCAGAAGAGCGCCTCCTGGATGCGGCGCGCCGCCTCGGCGTCTCTGCGGCTCGGCGCGCGCTCGGCGCCCGCCCGCGTCTCCACCGCCAGCAGCTGCGCGCCCTCGCCGCCGCCGCCCGGCCGCAGCTTGCGCGTCATCTCGCGGTAGAGCAGGTCGTCGCGGCTCTGCACGGCGTCGTGCAGGAACTGCAGCTTGGTGCGGCGGCCCATGATGGGCACGGAGAAGGGCAGCGTGACGGTGCGGTTGAGGAAGAGGTAGCCGTTGTCGGCCGTGCCCTTCATGGAGCCGGCGCTCTCGAGGCACGCGGCCAGGATGCTGGGGTCCACCACCAGGATGAAGATGAAGGGCGCGTGGCTGTCGGACAGCAGCGTGTTGATGGCGTTGAGCACGCCCACCACGCACTCCGGGTAGCACGTGTCCAGCCCGGTGACCTCGAGCACGACGCGCAGCCGCCGCCGCTGGAAGATCTCCAGGAAGCACAGGAAGTCGGTGAGCAGCTCCACCTCCTTCTTCACCTCGCACATGAAGCCCAGCTGGCTGCCGAACTTCTCGCGCGACACCAGCCGCTCGATCTTCTTGCGCTGGCTCACGAACAGGTGCTTGCCCACCGAGTACACCGCCATGAGCAGCCCCGAGCCCGACAGCGTGGTGGCCGCGCCGCCGAGCCCGCGCAGCAGGCTGCCGCTGGCCCCGTCGTGGCCCTGCGCGCGGGCGCCCACCGACAGGTAGAGCAGGCCCACGCCGAGGCTGAGCGCCGCCAGCAGCGCCAGCAGCGCCAGCCACACACGGCAACGGCAGTGCCACTCGCGCCGGCAGAAGCCCGGCGTCGCGGCCGCCTTGTTGCCCAGCACCGAGTACACGCTGAAGGGCAGCGCGCCGTACTGGTGGCGGATGCCGTCGCACAGCGTGGTCACCAGGCCGGCCCACAGCTTGTCCGTGCCCGCGTACTGCCAGGCGCTGAAGCGGATGAAGTGGAACTGGACGTTCTTGCGGCGCAGGTGCAGCTCGGTGATGACAGGCTGCAGGAACACCAGGTACCACAGCAGCCGCAGGAAGCCCCAGCCGCGCACGGGCCGCGGCTTCCACTGCACGCGCCGCAGCTCCTCAGCCTCGCGCTGCGCCGCCTCCTGCTGCATGAGCGCTGCGGGGAGGGAAGGGGCGGGGAGGGCGCGCCGGACCGTGAGCGGCGGGCCGGGGGGCCGCGGGCCCGCAGCGGCGCGTGGAGGGGCAGCGGCCTGAGGGCCAGCGGTGGGCAGAAGCAGCAGAGCTCCCAGGGGAGGGAGGACGGGAAGGGACGAGGAAGGAAAGAATGCGTGCCGGGTGCGGAGGAAGCGAAATGCTGGGCGGCGGGGCACAGCCTCGGTCTGATTTTCCTGGCTCAGTGCTCCTCCTCCTCCTCCAGGTCTCAGCTCGGCTGTCTCCTCCTCCAGGAAGCCCTCCCTGATGCCCAGGCTGGGTCAGGTGCCTCCTGGGCTCCCACACCCCAACCCTACCCACTGTTGGGTCATCACTCTCTGGGGCCAGGTCCGGCTGCCTCTCTGGCCTGTGAGGGCACGAAGGGCAGGGCTCTGGTCGTCTTGGTCATCCTGTGTCCCCTGGACACCA